TCTAGTGCCCCCTTCTCCTTACTCTGCATGTAAAGGAAATGAGACTTTCAGGTCCCTGAATTCCCTAGACTCAGGCTTGCCGAAGCCCTGAAGTCACATAAGCTGTTGCCTGACCTGGAATGCTGCTCTCACTAACCCTCCCATTCTGGATAAATCATGCTTATCATTTAGGTTTCAACTGAAATATTTCCCTAATGAAGCAGTCCCTTGCCTCCCAAACTAGGTCAGCTTTCTGTCGTGGGGGAAACACAGGAAAGCACCTCACAGGTTCTAAAATTCCCCAAAGTCAGAAATGGAACCATGGAATTTCCTTTTTAAAGAAAGCAGATGTGGGGCCCGGGTTGTAGCTCAGTGGTAGAGAGTTCCCCTAGCACGGTGGAGGCCCTTGGTTCGATCCTCAGCACCACATAAAAATAAGTAAATAAAATAAAGGCATTGTGTCCAATTACAGCTAAAAAAAAATATAAATACTTTTAAAAAAAAGAAGAAAGCAGATGTCATGAATACACTGTGTAAGTTGTTCTTAAGCAAAGTGTGCTCCTTTTCAGAGATAAGGAGGATAATTTGTAACGTCTAAAAATCTCCAGTTAAAAGCCTGATCTGGTTTAGGAATCATATTTCCTTGCTTTGCATATTAAATAATAATGGAAATAGGCTTCCTCCCTATCCTAAACAAGGAAAAAGAGATGCAATCAGACATTACCGTGGACCTACAGCTTCTGCTACAGGAAACAGTAAAATGAGTCAGAACACCAACAGACACACACACACACACACACACACACACACACACACACACAGTATAGCAGTCAGATAGTTTGTGCAGTGGCTTATCAGCAGGCTGTGGGCAGAACTCCCTTGTCACCTGCCCCCAGTCTGCACTGTCTGCAGCTGTCAACATGCACAACCATCTTGGAGGCTCCAAAGCTCCACAGCAGTGCCATTATCACTGAATATTGATAAACTAGATTAACATGGAACCCGGAGCCGGTAAAAACCAGCTCAGTCTCTGCCTTTTGATGCCCTGCATTGTCTGTCTCACTGTAAGCAAAAGATTTAGAGTGAGATCTGATTCTGATCAAGTGGTTGATAAAGCCTAGAACAACCCTCAACTCCCTGGCCTTCTCTCTGTAAAACTTATTTGCAGTCATTTCTTCAATAGTTATGCTCTCCATCAGGATACAAGCTCCATGAAGTCAGAGACATGTCTGTCTAGCTCCCTGTGGTATTTTCATCAAGTAACATGGTACAACATCCACAAATATTTTGGGATAAAGGAATCTTTGTCTCTTCTTCATTCTAACACTATTTATATGTTCTTTGTGGACTATCCTAAATGCTATCTTACTGTGTGTATTTTTCATGATATTCATTCATTTATTCTTTCATTTAATTACTTATTTAACTAACATTTATGCAATGCCTGCTAAACATTGAGGAAGCAAGTATTAATATGAAAAATTTCCTTCTTCTAAGGAGCTCATAATCCTCAAGAGGCCCACAGATTAACAAATAAACAACCACCATTTGATGCACAAGTGCCACAACTGAGTATAAAAAGGATATTCTGGACATAGTGGTTGAAGAAGCAATAAGGAACTTTTTCCCCCAAAATGAGCAGATATAAAAATAAACCAATAGTGGGCTGGAGTTGTGGCTCATCGGTAGAGCGCTCACCTAGCATGCCTAGCAGGAGACCCTGGGTTCAATCCTCAGCACCACATATACATAGAAAAAAGCTATTGTGTCCAACTGCAACTAAAAAACAAAAATAAAATAATAAAACAAATAAATAAAACAATAGTAATCAACTCCCTCTTGTTCCATCCAACAGAATCCCAGTTTTCCTTCAGGTACATATGCCTCATCTGTGCATCCATGTAATTTGAGATGCTGACTTCATTCTCAACTTCAAGGCAGATTATTTTATTTGTTTGTTTGTTTGTTCTAGTTAGTTATACATGACAGTAAAATGAATTTTTAAAGAAACTATTCTTTTTAAAAAATTTTTTAGAAGTTAATGGACCTTTATTTTATTCATTTATTTATATGTGGTGCTGAGAATCAAACCTAGTGCCTTATACATGCTAGGCAAGCGCTCTATCACTGAACCACAACCCCAGCCCCAGTAGAATGCATTTTGACATATTGTACACAAATAGAACACAGCTTCTCATTCCTCTGGCTGTACATGGTGCAGAGTCACTCCAGTAGTGTAATCATACATGTATATAGGGTAATAATGTCTGTCTCATTCTACCATCCTTCCCATTCCTACAGCCAAAACCCTCCCCTCACTCTCTTAAAGATGGATTCTAAACTAATAAAAAATAATAATCTAATAAAAAATCATAATATCATCCAGTGGGATTGCCAGTGATTCATTCAAGAACTCAAGTTTAAACAGGGCACAGTAGCACAGGTCTGTAATCCCAGGGACTCAAGATGTTAAGGCAGGAGGATCATAAGTTTGAGGCCAGCCTCAGCAATATAGTTAGACCCTGTCTCAAAATACAAAATTAAAGGGATGGGAATATATCTCAGTGGTAGAGCACCCCTGGATTCAGTGCCCAGTCCTGAAAAAAAAAAAAGAAATATATGTATTTTTAAAAGAAGTCAAAAGAAAGAACCCAAGCTTAAATCAAGGATTAAGTTTTGAGGTAGATCAGATGCCCCTGGGGTCTATTCTTTGTCCTTAGAGAAGCATGTGACCTAAATTTGGCCTAAAATGGCCAAATCAGACTGAAAAGTGGAACTTTGTCCTATCATTAGGATAGCATTTCTCCCTTGGTCTTGGGTTGACCATGAATAGAAAGGAAGCTGCCCAGGCTTATAATCTACGGTATCCCTGACATTGGTGCTGGTCCATCAAAGGGGGTGGGACAGATGTGAAAAGATTACAGAAAAATAGGGCTGAAATCCAAATTATGACACACCTGGAGCCTACCTCACTTCCAAGTCTCCTGTTTCTACACCAATCGTCATACATTCCTTATTATTTAAGGCAACTTAAATTGGTTGTTCACAACTTGTACCCAAAAGTCTGCTAATTTATAAAGCAAAAGTATTAAGAATTTGTGTGATCACATGGAGAAATGTTTATATCATATTATAAGTCACCGAAATGTAAAATACAAAATAATATACATGCAATGATAACATTATTGAAAGGTCTGAGAATACTTATAAAAATACTAACTTCTTATAATAGATACATGCTTCTATTTCAATGAAAAAAGGTTGAAAATGTTATGGAAACATAAAGAAGGAATATTTAATTCTATCCAGACAAGTCAGGGCAAGCTTTGTAAGAAATTATATGAGCTGACATGGTGAGTAGTGTCGCTCACAAGAGGAAAAAGACAGATGCAATTCTAGGTCACATCTATTGTTAGGTTTGGGCAAATTAATTAACTTCTATTAGCCTTGCTTTCCTCATTTATAAGCTGGGGATAATATTACCTATCTTGCAGAAATTGTGTTGAAATTTTAAATTATCACTACTGATCTTTGTTATCTCAAAGGCAAAGAGTCATGAAAGTACATGGCTGGTTTAGAGAGATTCTAATATTTTAATACATTCTAATATTCAGTACACTTGATACATGGGACACATGGCAAAAATGGGGCTGAAAAGCTAGCAGTACCAGATCATGAAGCAATATAGTGAGTCTTTTGAAGGATTAAGTTTCGAACAAGCTAGAGGCCTTATCCTGTTTGGAAAAGTCAGATTCCAGAGGTCACCTGAGGTTGCTCTTGGACTCTACCTGGGCCCACTGTGGCTGCTTAGAAATGTCTTGGAACTGACTGTCACTGTCTCAAAACCAAGCTGAAAGGAGGCTTGGAGGTAAATATCTTCAGGGCAGAATGCATTCATTGATTTCATCAGCAGGTTGTCAGGGAGACTAGCCTCTCAAAACAATTGGGAGAGCCATTCTGAGAGGGTCTGAAATAAGCAATTCTCTGTCAATGTTGGTGAAGTGGTTTTGTGGGCCTAGACTGTCACTGTGGGAACTTGAAGGCAAGGAAAGCTTGACTCTACAGTAGGGAGGAAATATATATATATATTTAAGCACCCCCAGATTTGATTCAATTCAATTCAGTTCCGCCCACCCTCCCCTCCCCCCAAAAAACACATGAATTTTATTTATCAGTACTCAGTTTTATGGAAGCTTTGGACAGCTACCAGAACAAGTTCTAAGCTACATGGCATTTAGGTCTCTACAGTGCCATCTCCCCACAAGTACAGCAACCCAAATTCGCCAATCTGGCAAATGTTTATGATTTATAATATTAAGCAATGAAAATGACACACAATGAATTTATCAAAAGTTCTGATTCTCTGGAAATATGCTAAATTCCCTATAAATAAAGCTATTGATCCTAAGGAAAAAACAAACTGGGCACAGTGGTGTGCTCCTGTAATCCCAGTGACTCGGGAGCATGAAGCAGGAAAATTTTAAGTTCGAGGTCATTGTCAGCAATTTAATAAAACCCTGTCTAAAAATAAAAATTAAAGGTGCTGGGATGTAGCTCACTGATAGAACACCCCTGGGTTCAATTCCTAATACACAAAAAGGAAAGCAAAGGAAGAATATAAAGAAAAAAAAAGACTAAGAATAATTTTTCAGAAAGCGTTTTTTATATTACAACAAAAATCTGTTAGTTGAAGTAGACACCTAGACACAATCAATTTTTAAAAGAACATAGAGTACTTCTACAAAGATTTATTACTGATATGGGTTTCCTTTTTTAACTTAATGACTCACCAACAACATCCTTCAGAATTGGAAGCCTCTGTACTTTGAGAGACTGCCAGTTAGTCACTAATTTTTCCCCAAAGTGTAATGTGAAAGAATCTGCTGTGTAAATCTGAATACCATAAACCTGTAGGCCACGAATCTTTTTAAAACGGGTTGTCCTATTAATTGTGCCTAATGTTTGAGGATAGACTTGTAACATACCTTTACTGTGCTTAACTTCTATGACTGAACTTACAGCTGGAAGATCAGCAGCAGGTAGAGCCAGGACGGCAGCAGAGCTCTGGATCTTGGGGTAGGCGAACCTAACTTTACAATCACAGTAACAAGAACTAATGCCTTTGGGTTGGGTAGATACTCTTAGAGTTCTTGAATTTATTATCACAGGAAAGGGACTCTGAAAAGGAATGTGATTTTTGAGTTGTGTATATTATTATAGATTGCAGTATGTGATTTATGTAATTATTGGTACTGGAGATAGAACCCAGGGGTGCTTTACCACTGAGCTACATTCCAAGTCCTTTTATTTATTTATTTATTTTAAAATTTTGAGACAGAGTTTCACTAAATTACTGAGGCTGGCCTCAAACTTGCAATCTTCCTACCTCAGTCTCCCAAGTCGAAGGTAATATAGGGATGGGCCACCATGCCCAGCTATAATAAGTGTTCTAAAAGAAACGTGCAGGGGCTGGGGATGTGGCTCAAGCGGTAGCACGCTCGCCTGGCATGCGTGCGGCCCGGGTTCGATCCTCAGCACCACATACCAACAAAGATGTTGTGTCCACCGAGAACTAAAAAAATAAATATTAAAAGAAACGTGCATACTACTATGATAATGTCTAATAGTGAAATTATCTAGGCCTAAGAGTGTTGCAGGAGTTTTTTTGGTTTTGTTTTTGGTTTTGTTTTGCAGTGGCTGTGTTGCTGCATAACAAAATAAACCTAAACATAATAGCTTAAAACAACCACCTTGAAAAAGACAAAGGGATAACAGAGGAAACATTGCATTTGCTCACAGTTCTGTAATTTAATCTTATCCCAGCTGGACAGTTCCTCTATGTTCTTGTCAGTGGTTAATCACATGGCTGCATTCAGCTGGCACATGGGCTTGGGTACAACTAGGATTGTCTCCTGTAATCTCTTCATTTGCTGTCCCCAGCAGGATAATCAAACCATTTGTATGTAGGCTCAAGCCCTCTAAGAGCACAATAGCAGAAGCTTCTAGTCTTTCATAAGGCTTTGGCTTAGAGTTGATGTTACCGCTGTTGAGTCCTTGCTTCCCCAATGTTGAAGTATAACACCAGAGAAGCACGCCAAGGCAAGGTCAGAGTGGAAAGTAGAAGTTTATTAAAGGACAGCAGAAAAGACTTCTTCTGGAGGAAGAAGGTGTTATGCTCGAATTCGGGACCCCCCAAAGACCACCAGAGACCCAAGATCGATGTAAGCAGCAAAGAGGTGTTTATTGCGAGCTAGCTCGGTCTTCTGCGTGTGCACACACACAGCAACTGGTGACGCTGAGAGGCCCCGAGCCCAAGGTTTGCAGCAGTTTTATACATTCTTTGGAGAGGGCAGGGACTTCACATACATCATAGCAAATCATCACACACCGCAGGAAAATCAAATAACAACTCTAAAACATGATTAGCACATTCACTGGTGGGAACAAGTTGGGTAGGAGTGATTGGTCAGTACAAAAGGGGGATTCATTTGAACTGATTGGTTTAAGCCAAGAGGGGTGTATGTGCTGAACTACATGGTTTCCTGCCGCAATCTGGCTTGGCACAATTCAGGAGCCACTTGTCAAAAGAAATGAACTTTATTTTTAAAACCACACACGCCAAACCACACAGCTCCTCAGGAAAAACCCTCAGAGCCCAACTGCCACCACTGGCTTCCCACAAGCCTCTCAACCTCCCCCACTCCTCCTGCTCTTGAGGCCGATTGGCTGGGTCGTGTGGGTGGAGCAAAAAAAAGGCCCCAATGAGCAGCTCTGTGGTCTGAAAGGGCGGGGACACAGCCCAAATGAGCATCACCGCAGAGGAGCCAATCAGTTGGCAGCTAGAAGTTGCCAATCATCAGCTGGCAGCTGGAAGTTTGCTGGGGCCCCTTTGGCTGTGGCTCTCAACAGTTTCCCAACTTGTTATCAACCACCATAAACTACTGGGAGGGTCATCTGGCATCCCAGGTATTTCCCTGTCTCATGCTGATTGGTGGCTGCTAGGGGGTTGCTATGGATCCGCACCTAGCCTGACTGAGTCAGGGACACCTGGCTCTGCAGATCTCTCCCGTTATTTGTAGATAAACAACTTAGCAGGGTGGGAATGTGCCTAGGAGTGCTCTGTGGGTTTTTCCAAGGACAAAGGTCATGTTCCTTCCTTGGACAGGCTTTGCTCTGAGATAGAGGCTGGTTTTTCAAAGGGGACCCAAGAGATGGAATCCATTAAAGGGCGAAAGTGTTCCCTCTTTTATAGTTCTTTCAGTGATGGAATGTAGGTGGGAAGGTCCGAAGGGTGGGGCACAGGTGGGCCAAAGAAGTAATCTTTTAGGACTTTTGGCTTAGCATCTTCAAATTTGCTGGGAGCTGTTTCATTAACATTTCTTTGGGATGGGCTCTGGGCCTTGGGGACATTAACATTCCTTGAGTTGTCCGGCTTTTCCCAGAATTCATTCTCAACCTGGCCTCCAGTTTCAATTTTACTTGATATTAGACCCGATTTACCTAACTACACTGACTACCTAACTTTAAATCTGGCTTCATTGACACAGTATCATATCTGTTTAAATCTACTACCAAAGCAGTCAAAGGGCCAACTCCAGAGTCAGGAGGAGGGCATGAATACTAGGTGTCATTCATGGGAAGGGGGGAGGAGAGCACCTTGTTACAAACTACCAGAGTGACATTAGGCAGTGATCTGAAAGATGAACAAAAATTAACTTGGGCAAAGAAGGAAGTGTTCTAAGCAAGAACAGTGGTATATACAAAGCAATTATAGCACAAGGTGTTTCTAAGTGACTGAAAGAAAACTGGTGTAGCTTGGAGTGCAGAAATCAAGGGGAAAGTGGCTATAGGCAGGGAAGGGCCAGACCATGTGGTACCATTGGGAATCTTAAAGATGTAAGTGATAGAGAATCCCAAAGCAAAATGGTGAGGTAACTCATGCCTGTGAGCCCAGTAGTTTAGGAGGCTGAGGCCGAAGGATTGAAAGTTCAAGGTCAACTGATACCTCTGGTTATCAGTGACTAGTTCTGCTTCCTCACATGTTGAAGTTTGAACATTAGAGAAGCACGAGAGGCAAGGATATAAAGCAGGGTTTATTTAAAAAGAGGTAGCATTGACTTCTCCAGGGAGGGAGAAGGGGGCCATAGCTGGTATCCTGGTATCCCAAGAAGCAAGGTGTTCTGCCCTTTTTATATGTCTTAGGCTTCCTTCATTCTTCGCCCTTCTTCCCCTTATCTTTCTCCTTTCAGCTTACAAGAGCAGGCCTAGGAAATGCTGCATGGTGGCATGGCCAAAAGGTGGGAAACAGATGGGCTGAAGGGGGAAGGGCAGGATGGAGCAGCCGAGGACACATTAATTAACAACCTTATGGCTCTCTGTAGGGAGGGGCAATTCCTGCCACAGGTTATTTTAGCAACTGGTTGGAACCTGGCCAGGTTCTTGATAAGAGTGGAGGAAGAGCTCTGAAGGAATTTACATTTCAATTCTCCAGGGGACAGTCTCCAACTTCCAAGACTCACTCAAAATTGGCCTCCTTGATCCGACCTGACTTGATTTGCCTATCTATACTGGCTGCCTGTCTATTCTGGCTTCACAGCCATTGCTACTTAGTAAGATCCTGTTTCATAATAAATAAAAAAGGTTGGGGATGTAGTGCAGTGGCAGAGCACCCTTGTGTTCAATCCCCAGTATGGGGGTGGGGGGTGGAGAATCCCAGTGCAAACTGGCTTAAGCAAAAATATAAATAAAAACAAAAAGAGAAAGAAGAATGTATTCGTTCCTGTTTCTGACAAGTCCAGTTGATTTCAAGTTTCTGACAAGTGCAGTTAATTTCAATCCAGGGTTTCAAACGAAATCATCAGGAATTTATATCCCTGGCTCTGAACTCTGCTTTCCACTTTGATGGCTTTTAGCACCAATGATGCACACATGATGAAGGCGGGATGGGAAACAAACCTTGGATCAGCAAACTTTTCTTTATTCAGTATTCAGCAGCAGAGTTGGTGGTGGAACCTAACATGGCTCATTTTGGGGCAGAAAATGGCGGCCACTGTAGTAGCCAAAGGTCTAGATTATACAGGCTTCGTTTAGAGTGGGCCAGGAGAGCAATTCCTGGGGTTCATTGTATTGGAGTCCTGCTGATCCATTAGGGTGGAAGAGAATGTGAATAGGGAATTTCCTGGGGCTTATTATATTGAGGTCATGTGACTTATTATATTGAGGTCATGGGGGTGGGGGTCAGGTGTCAGTCAGGTGAGAGTTCCTTTTGTGTTCCCTGCTCTGGCTGAGGCCTGGGATTTTAAATGTCAAAAGCATAGGGGATATGTCCTTGGAATTATTTTCCATATCCCTCAGTGGCTTTGTGTTCAGACTTCTGGAAAGTAGAATTCTGCAGTTCCAGGTTTAGATCCCCCGGATTTAAGTCTTAGGGAAAGAAAGTTCCTTTCTCTGAATAGCGTATGTTCCAGATTTGTATCAACATCAGTCTGGGGCCCAATAGCAATCAGATGGCACACTCAAACTGACATAATTCAAAGATAATTTACTTATAAAGGGACTATTTCAATGGGGTGCTGAAATTGCTTTATAACAACTTGCAAAAGCTGATTCTTAGCATTTCTTCCCAACTCTGCATGAGTGACTTCACATTGGTACCTTAAAATGGGTGATGATGGAAACATTTACACCACAGCAATTGGCAAACACTGCAAATTAGGGTAGCCTCCCCCCCCCTCCTGAAAGCCCGCTCCCATACACAGTTGTTTACCAATCACCACTGAACTGTCTTAAAAGTGGGGCACCTTTGTTTGTCAGAGCACTCCATAGATGGAGAGAGGGCAAACAGGCTTGGGGTTCAAGAGTTGTAGGGGTCAGGCTCAGGGATTAGAGGAGGGTGGGTCCTAACATGGGTGGTTCCTAAAGCAGGCAGTTAGGGTTGGGTTGGTATGAGGGAGTGGTGAGCCTTTCTCAGAAACGCCCTTGGGCGGCAAAGCCATATTTTTTCTTAAAATGGTGGCTGTCACTTAAGATGGCCATCCAGATGCTAAGCAAGGACCTTACATATAGAGAGTCCAGTT